GACTTTGTAACGCTCCTGCGACATTTGAGAGGCTTATGGAAAATGTGTTGAGAGGGTTATCTTGGAAAAACATGCCTAGTTTATCTAGACGACATAATCGTCTTGGGGAAGACATTTGAAGACCATCTGAAGAATTTAGAAAACGTTTTTAATCGACTTAAAGCTGCCCAATTGATGTTAAACCCCAAGAAGTGCCAGCTATTTCAAGGTAAAGTCAATTATCTGGGTCATATAGTCAGTAAAGAAGGAGTGGCCGTGGATAAGGGAAAAATCGATTCTATTAAGGAATGGCCAAAACCAACTGACAAACATCAAGTGAGAAGTTTTCTGGGACTATGTACTTACTACCGGAGGTTTATTAAGAAGTTTGCAGATATCGCTAAACCATTAACGCGACTTACAGAGGAAGCAAGAGAATACCGCTGGATGTAGACTGCCACAATGCCTTTGAGACCTTAAAAAAGCATTTAATCACAGCACCAATTTTAGGGTATCCACTGCCAGAAGGAGAGTTCATCTTAGATACAGATGCAAGTAATGTGGGAATTGGAGGAGTGCTGTCTCAGATTCAGGGAGGACAGGAAAGAGTCCTTGGATATTTCAGTGAAGTTCTCTCAAAACCTGAGCGGAATTATTGCGTCACGAGAAGAGAACTTCTGGCAGTAGTGAAATCAGTAGAGCACTTCTATCAATACCTCTATGGAAGGAAGTTTTTAATCCGAACCGACCATGCCGCCCTTAAGTGGTTGATGCAGTTTAAGAATCCAGAGGGTCAGATAGCCAGGTGGATCGAACGACTCCAAGAATATGATTTTAAGATTGAGCACCGGGCCGGAGTTAGCCACCGAAACGCTGATTCTCTTTCCAGAAGGCCATGCCCAGCAGAGTGTTCTCACTGCAACAAAACGGAATCCAAGGAAGCAGCAGTGCTAAGAACGACGGTGGTCCACGACGACTGGACGCCTACCAAGATCAGGGAAGAACAAGAGGGAGATCCAGTTATACAGAAAATCCGAAAATGGAAAGAAGAAAACCGTCGACCACCTTGGCAAGAAATATCGAACCTAGGCTCAATAGTTAAGACGTATTGGGCCCAGTGGGACTCATTTATCATGGAAGATGGCTTGCTCAAACGAGTCCTGGAAAATGATGACGGTTCAGAGAAGAGAAGACAGTTGGTGATTCCAAAGAGCAGAATAGCCGAAGTACTTCGTCAGTTACACGACAGTCCATCAGGAGGGCATTTTGGTGTGAAAAAGACCCTTCAGCGAATTCGGGAACGGTTTTATTGGATGAACAGTTCCGACGATGTAAAAGACTGGTGTAAGAAATGTACTATTTGTGCTACGAGTAACGGGCCTTATCGAAAAAGGAGAGCTCCTATGAGACAATATAATGTTGGAAGCCCGTTTGAAAGAATAGCTTTGGACATTGCTGGGCCATTTCCAGAAAGTGATAATGGAGGCAAGTACATGTTGGTAGTAATGGATTACTTCACTAAGTGGGTCGAGATTTACGCACTTCCAGACCAGAAGGCCGCCACCGTTGCAGATAAGTTGATCCAAGAATATATCAGCCGATTTGGAGTGCCTTTGGAGATCCATAGTGACCAAGGCAGGAACTTCGAAAGCGATTTATTCCAAGGAATATGTGATAGACTAGGTATGAAGAAAACAAGAACTACGGCTTATCATCCGCAATCGGATGGTATGGTAGAACGAATGAATAGAACAGTTGGCAAGTATTTGACAAAGATGGTGTCCGATCATCAGCGAGACTGGGACCAATATCTCCCGTTCTTCACAATGGCCTACAGATCTGCTGTTAATGAATCAACAGGCCAGACACCAGCCAGAGTCCTATTCGGACGCGAGATGCGACTACCTTGTGATCTAGAGTTTGGGTGTCGACCTGGAGAAGATGTAGCAGGTGAAGATTATGTGATCGAATTACGAAGAAGAATGGACGATGTACACGAGTTGGTCCGTTCCCATCTCCAGATCGCTAGTGACCGAATGAAGAAACGGTACGATACGCAAGCCGAAAAGGGGTGTTTTAAGAAGAACGACAAAGTCTGGCTTTATAATCCCAAAAAGCGAAAAGGTTGTTCTCCCAAGTTGCAGCAGTTTTGGGAAGGTCCATACCTCATTATGGAAAAGATCAATGATGTCATTTATCGAATAAGCAAGATTCCGAGGGAAAGCCGATGATAGTACACCATAACCGGCTGGCGTCTTTCGAAGGCGACCACGACGTAGATGAAGAAGTGGAAGTAAACCAAGTCCAAGATGTGTCTGACCTCACGTTTGAGGAATTCATGGGTGCCTATGGAGGTACCGGTAAAGCAAGACATGGTGTTACCACTGAAGAAAAGCAAGATCTACTCGCGCTTCCCGATGACTACTCACTGGCCCTTACCATCCCGGCCAGTATCAAAGACGCACCAGGGTTGGCATCCGTCTTTCGAAGGAAGTTCGGTCGAGTTGCAGAACTTCAATGCCAAGTGCCAGCTCCTGGAAAAGCCTTAAAACTTCAAGATGCATCACGTTACCTTTTCTACCTGGTAACAAAAGACACTGCCCGTGACCAACCTACCTACCGAGATGTATGGGAAGCTTTACTTCGATTGAGAGAGCACGTACTAGAGTCCGACGTGCAAAAGTTAGCCATGCCAAAGTTAGAGTGCCACCAATTAGATTGGAGGGTTATTCGAAGTATGGTGGAGGAGATCTTTAGAGACACCGAAGTCCAGGTGTTAGTCTGTTGCAATCCGCATAGTTACTGGTGCGGAGAGAAAACCGTCCCTTGTCATTTTTATAAAACTTGAAGTTGTAAAAGAGGGTCCAGTTGCCGATACCAGCATGCCGCTCCAGTTCCAGTCCCGACAAGGTTCCAGGAGGAACCATCTTTTAAGAGGGGGGCAATGTTACGATAAATTCTGACCCAAAATCGTAAATATATTTTACTAATATGTTTTTATTTATTCATGAATGTTCTAGGTATATCTACCTGACGAAAATCAGCCGAGCCGCTATAAAAACCCCGTTCCAGTTCATTCGAGGTTGAAAAACGAGTCGAGCGCCTTCACCAAAATACGAGATCATTCCAGTATTTTCGACAATGGTCAGGTCAGGTCTAGGCGGTCTTGCGGTTCTTTATATAAGGACGAAATTTTATTGAAGGGGCAGTCATAAGAAGATCGGTAAACGCGGTTTACTTATAACGAAACGTTAAATAAATACATTTGTAAAGTTATTTAATAAATTAGTAATTAGCTATCGTGAGTTTTAATAAATTAGATTATAGACAATAAATTAGAATAAAGACAAATAAATTCGAACTATATAAATATATAACAGTAAGCCAGTTATAAAGCTCCCTCAGTAATTAAATAAAGAAGTTGAGGAATTAGAAGTATTGGAATCTGATACTGGTGAACAAATTGTACAGAAATCGATATATTTCGTTCAGTGATGGCACTCAATAGATTTACATTTTTATTGCAGTGCTTACGTTTTGATCAATGCTGTAATCAACAGCCAGGTCATTTACAGAACAAACACTGGTGACTATTCAAAGAAACGTCGTATATTCCTGAAAGATCTGGAATTAGCATTAGTTACGTCAATTATAAAAGAACGAAATGGTAATCCGCGACTTACAAAACATTTACGATCCAAAATAGTTCAAGGTTTGGGAGAAAGTGACCAGGCTTGGACCAAGACCACCGAAAAAGCAATGTACGGGATGTGGAAGGTGTCAAAAGTGTTCCAGAAAATCTGAGCAGAAAACTAAACAAACGTGCGATTAATGCACAAAATTTTAATAATTTCTTTACCTAAAATTTTAATTGTTTAGATCACCTTCATCGCATTTGCGACGAATATATTCCAGTTTCTAGACTTTTTTCAAGCTTGGATATCCAATGTCCTGCTTTTTTATATTTTTATTTGAACCTTTTGAAAACATTTTTTTGGAAAATCTCTTATTTTATATCATTATTTTTTGTTTGTGAATTTTTTTATGTATCTAGGTTTTTGTTTGTAGGAATTTTATTATTTTGAAAATTTTACCTAATATGCGGTCAAATTTAATCCAATCGTAAAAACTACTGTTATTTATGAAAATTTTACTTTTACAGTCTAACTCTAACACTAAAAACACAATTAGTTTATATTAATATATTACTAATCGCTTTAAATTTATTTCTTCAACTGACCCTATAATCTAAATTGTTGAATATAGATTTTTGTCTTTTTGAACTGCTTCTGGAATTCTAGCGAGGACCCCTCCTGATATCAGGCTGTTGGAACCTCGACTAGATATCTGCTTTTCAAGCATTTTCTACACTAGACAGCTAAGTCTGACGTTAGCATGGAGATAAGTAGTGTAATGAGAAAGCTGACGTAACAATAGCTTAAGCTTCTTGTCTCTATTTTCTTTAGTTACTTGACTATATGTTTTGTTTTGGCTAAGGAGTTTCTCTTGGTGGCTATTTTGTAAGACTACTATTCTGTTGTTGCGCCTCGTTTTTATTTTTATTTACGTATTTTTTTGTACAGTTAACATAGTTAAAAAGTTAAATTAGTTTTTTCAATTGCTTATCTTTTTATTTGTATTTCTATCCACAATTGATCCTCGATTATTAGACAGAGGACACATTTTTGTAGTGCATTTTTTGGTTTATCATATTATGTTGAATATGTATTAATATAACTTACAAAAGAAATAAGAGGATTTTTATTGAACAAGTAATTTATCAGGCTCCAGAGAAAAAAAGATGTTATTTACTTTTAAACCAGCATATGATTTTAATATAATTACGTAAATTTTGATTGAAATTTAAAAGTAGCATTTTTTTGCCAATGAAAATTACTAAGTTGTTCAATACAACTTTGCATACTCATAATACAGCAAAAGTAAAACAAAATGTTAAGAGTTATTGTCATTACACATTTTTTAAAAAATGCTTTAAATAAATTTATTCTACGTTGTTTCAGAGTATACAACTTCCAACAGTACTATTAGTACTAGTTGTCGCCTTCCACAACAGCCATTCAGCTACCCTCACAGACGTCCTTCTCTCGGATGAGTCAAACAAACCACAAGAGATCTCTTCCGATGAATTCATCCCCCCTCCACGATTATCCAGAGATGTCAAGTACCCAAGGTACGCAGCCGACAATACTGATAAGGACCTAAAACCAGAAGACTCACCCGACCGAGACCGGGATCGGGATAACGGTAACGCGCCGCCTGGAAAACGGTGCATCAGCTGTTTCGCTAGCTACCCCAGCTACTCTAATACGCCTTCCTACGATAGGTCTAGGTACTACTATGACGACAGGAGTCGGGACAGGGATTATGATCGGTACGATGATCGGGATCGGTACAACGACAGAGATAGGTACTACAATAGAGATCCTTATTATGACAGGTATTTTTTTTATATACGATGTATCCCAAAAGTATGATAAATCTAACAATATCAAAAAACTCTATGGTACAATAAAAATAAAATTTTTTAGAGTAATTTGTCGGTATTTATAGTAGAAAAATGATGAGCTTTTACTTTATTAGCTACAATATTCGTATTTTTATATTGTTTTTAAGTGCTCTTACAAATATTGTTTCTACAGTATAAGTGTTTATCTTCTTCTTAAAGTGCCTATCCGTTCCGGATGTTGGCGATCATCACGGCCATCTTTACTTTGTTTACTGCAGGGCGAAACAGTTCAATGGTAGTCGTGTTATACCACTTTCGTAAATATTGAAGATTGAAGTCAGGAAATGCGTCTTCTTTCCGGTCCTCTCTTACCATTTACCTTCGCTTGGAGAATCAGCTGGAGAAGGCCGTAACGTTCTTGATTTCTCATTACATGTCCTAGATATTCCAAATTTTTAGTTTTGACGGTCTGTAAAATGAGAATTTCACATTCTTTCCCCATTCTACGCAGGACCTCCACATTAGTAACTCTGTCAACCCAGGATATACGTAAGATGCGCCTATAACACCACATTTCGAAAGCTTTGAGCCGATTCATAGATGCAACAGTCAATGTCCACGTTTCCATTCCGTAGAGCAGAACTGTGAATATGTAGCAGTTCAAGTGTTCATACAAATATTTATAAATGGGAAATTTAAGAATTATTGGAAAATAGGAATAAAAAGTTTAGTAAATAGATGAAAAGAGTCACAAGTTGCCTGAATAAAACAATATGGAGAAATAAAAATATCAGCAAAGAAATGAAAAGTTGAATGTACAAAGCAGTCATCAGACCAATTACGACATACACGGCAGAAATCAGACCTAACACAGAGAGGACAAGAAAGAGATGAAAACTCTTGGAAAAATTGATGGTAAGACACTATGGGACAGAGCTAGTACAAATATACGACGTAGATGCAGGGTGGAGAACATCAATAACTGAATAAGAAATAGAAGAATAGAATGGAACGATCATATAAGCCGAATGACAACAAATAGAATAGTAAAAACGGCAAGAGACAGTTTCCCAATAGTGTGTCGATCAGTAGGAAGATCAAGAAAACGATGGGACGAACTTACTGGACGCACATTAAAAAACCAGACAGTCATGTCTATACAAAAATATAAAAAAAAGTCTGTCTTACGACCCATATATAGATGGTAGGCTCATTTACCTATGAGTTTTGCGAATTATAGGTGGGTCGCAAATGCATGGTTTCTTCTTCTTTAAGTGCCTAATCAAAGGTTGAATATCATCATCACTATATTTACTCTATTTACTGCTGCTCTAAAGAGTTTTATAAAACTGCATTTAAACCAGTCCTCTTAAATTTTTGAACCATGACACTCTCCTTCTTCCTATACTCCTTCCTCCTCTTATTTTTCCCTGTATTATCATCCTTAGCAGTTCATATCGCTGTCTTCTCATTAAGTGTCCCAGATATTATAACTTTCTTATTTTGTTTATTGTGTTTAATATTTTGCAATTCTTAGTTTAGTTTTCTTCTGTGCCCATGCTTTCTAAGCATCCTCCTGTAACACCACATTTCAAGGGACTATAACTTATTTATGTGTTCTTGCTTCAATATCCACTTTCAAGTCCATATTGCAGTATCGAAAACACGTAGCATCTCAGTGCTTTTACTCTCAGTTCTAATCTAAGGTCATTGTTGCAGAGAATTGTTTTCATTTTTACAAACGCATTTCTTGCTATTTCTATCCTAGCTCTTATTTCGGTTGCTTGATCATTATTGTCTGAAATCCAGGTTCCTAGGCAATTGCTTTTCGAGATCATTGCTCTGGTCTACTGTATTTAGATGCTGTTTAATTTCTTGTTTTGTAATTTTCTCGGATTTCCTCATTTTGCATTTTCTCGATGTTCCATGGTCCCAATGCTTCGTGGGCCTTAGGTTTCTCTAAAGATATTCTCAAGCTGATATTCTTTTGCTCTTACTAGGTGATGATCTGTATCTCCATCTACTCCTCTAAGGCTTTTTAGATCCAGCACATTACTTCCATGTCTAGCATCGATAATTACGTGGTCAATTCGGTTTCGCGTAGAGTGGTCATTAGAGACCCAAGTCTGTTTATGAATGTTTTTATGTTGGAACTTAGTAGACATTACAAGCATATTGTTAGCCAATGCTTGCTCTACGAGCCTTTGTCCATTGTCGTTTGAGATATCATGGAGGCTATGTTGTAATATTGTTGGTCTTATGTTAGGTTCTTGGCCAATTTTTGCGTTGACGTTTCCATAGATTATCTGCATGTTTTGTTTGGGGATTTTCTTAAGCGTTCTTTTGAGTTGTTCATAGAAGTAATTTTTAATATGTTCGTCTTAATTTCTGTCGGAGCATGTGCGGATTTAATTGAGATATTGTGCCATTTACCTTTCAGTCTAATATAACAAAGTCTTTCATTAATGGGCGTGAAACTTCGTGTGCTCGTGTGCTCCACCCGATTCGCTAAATGTAGATCTTGAGAAGTTTAGTACAGTTGATGAGCAGAATACATAATATTTAGTTTATCTTCCCATCCTACTTTAGCATTTTCTTGTCTTCCTTCACTTTCAAGCTCTCTCTCAACTTCCTCTATAATAACTCAAATTGTCATCTTTATTTTTGTAATTTGGGTAGACCAAGCTGACGGTCATCTCTATTAAAATCACAGCCCCAAGTTATTTCTACATGCTCTTTTTTTATTACGTTTTTACTAGTCTTCTTGTTTTTTTTTGTATGAAATAATAAAAAAAACACACACACACACACAATCACGCGAAGCGATCAACCCTACCACTAGGAACATGTGTATACCACTGTAAGAGTGGGATCCACAAGTCCGAAAATCAAACCGGTTACACCTCACTAGTTGAGGTGGTACCTATCTGACCCCTAGGCTTTTCCTCCACCCCTCCTTAGCGTGTGACTTACGTGAGGAGGCTTATGATCTGAATTTAAGTAAGGTGTCTTGGGTAATGAGACACCTTCTCTTTTTAATGACTGTGGTTAGGCCACCTTACTGTAGGGGTAGCACATATGTCGGTTTTTCTCCCTATTTAACTTTACTGACTCTATAGAAGTTACTCTAACTTTACTTCGGGACTCATGTCCCTAAAAAAAGCGTGTGTTCCAGACAGAGAGCCATCGGTATAGACCGCAGCTCTCTGTCTGGAAAAGATGTGTGTGCTCGTTCACTCAGTCGCCGATTTGACAAAATAAAGATTTTGTTCTCCTCGCCGGCTGGGTGTTCGAGAAGTGAGTCCTGGTCACCGAGCCCATGCTTGTCGCACATGACCTCGATGCTCAAAGTCCGCGATTGATCAATATTAGATCTGTCTGAAGGGCCTATGCCTGCTGGCTGGTATATAGTGCCTGACGGGCCTTTTATATCTTCTTATTCGTTTTATATACATTTTATGATAGTGAGCAATAATAAAAAAAATTTAAATATGTTTAATATTAATATAAACAGTTACCGAATTTTTGGTTTCAATAACTTTTACAAGATTCTTGTTTTTGATATTGTTGGATTTTCCTGACCTTTGCGACACATAGTATACAGTCCCCAATATCTTATATAATTATTATTGCAGATACGACAGATACAATGACAGAGACGGTACTACAGAGGTCGCGACCGATACAGTGACAGAGATCGGTACTACGATCCCTACGACTATGACAGATATGACCCCTACGAGAGGTACGACCGATATGGCGATCGGTCGTACGATAGATACGACCGAGATCGATACGACACTAGGTACTCCGATCGGGGCATAGGGTACGATAACAAAGGCTACGATTACAGAATAAACGATCCGTACAAGAGCAATGACGATTACAATAGAGGATATTCCGGTCGACCGGACTATGGTACTAGTGGGTATGCTAGTAAATGGAATTATGGAAATAGCGGAAGTGGAAGGGATGATTATTACTCCAGAGACAGGTGAGTCTCTAGAAATTAAAAAGTTTCTATTTGTATTGTAAATTTTGATGGTTTTAAAGCTGTTTTTTTTAAGATGAACGTTAAATATTTTCCATAAACAAACTAATTTTACATTCCTACTAGGGATGGGAAAAACCTATTGGTTTTAACCAAAAACTGGTTTTTTTACTTCGCAATAACCGGTTTTATCGGTTATTTTTTTGTCCCGATTATAACCGGTTTTTTATTTTTAAAGTAAAAACCTGTTATTAGGTTTTTATGGTGATTAGGATTAGGTTAGGTATTATTTTGGATATCAATCATAATTATTTTTCTTAAGTAATTATTCCAAACAAAACCATAATTTAAATTTTATTTTATTTAGCATTTGCAAGTATCACAAACTAAAGTGCATTGTAAATGTAGCTTTGTAACCTATTGGTTTAAAAAAACCGAAAACCAGTTTTTGGGAAAAATGTTTTTTTTGCCGTTATAACCGCCAGGTTAACCATAAGCAAAAAAATCTGTATAACTGAAATCCGGTGTTTTGTCAAAAACCGCAATCCCTTATTCCTACCTTAAATGTTATTGGTAAATAAAGGTTTAGATTTAAAAAGGTTACAAAAAAAAGAAAAGTAACAAAAACTGTGTATTTATTTATTTAGACACCTTAAAAACACTATAGACTAATAGTAATTACATGTAAAGTGTTGAAGATAAAAAATACAATAAATGAAAGAAGCGAACATTAGTAATAAAATAAGAAAAAAAATACAACCCCTTAAACCTAGTGCTGATTAAATGAAATCGTAGGCTTCCACGGCCAGAGTCAGAATTATAGTTTATTCGTCTTCCGGATTTGGACCGTGTCATTCGTGAGTGACCCAAAAGTGGGTTCATCTCGACGTTTCGCTACAATTGTATGTAGCTTCTTCAGGAGAACAAAGAAAAAGAAAAAGAAATAAAAAAACAGGAAGATGGGTAGTTAGCAACGGTAACTCAGTTACTCAACGCAACCAGAGGCGAATACTAACTACCAAAATGGGCATTTGGTCACAGTAACTCAACTACTCAACGCAGCCAGAGGTGAAAACCCAAATGCCAGGACAGGGATTCACGTCCAACAGCTCAGAACACTAACGCGTCGAGAGGCGGGGAATGAATCCGACGATTACTCCGCTGCCGCTCTATTTATAGTCGCGGTGACCTGTCCCGATACGTCCGACACGACAGGTCACCGCGACTATAAATGGAGCGGCAGCGGAGTAATCGTCGGATTCATTCCCCGCCTCTCGACGCGTTAGTGTTCTGAGCTGTTGGACGTGAATCCCTGTCCTGGCATTTGGTTTTCACCTCTGGCTGCGTTGAGTAGTTGAGTTACTGTGACCAAATGCCCATTTTGGTAGTTAGTATTCGCCTCTGGTTGCGTTGAGTAACTGAGTTACCGTTGCTAACTACCCATCTTCCTGTTTTTTTATTTCTTTTTCTTTTTCTTTGTTCTCCTGAAGAAGCTACATACAATTGTAGCGAAACGTCGAGATGAACCCACTTTTGGGTCACTCACAAATGACACGGTCCAAACCCGAAAGACGAATAAACTATAACTAGTGCTGATTAACTAGCAATGTCTTAAGTTCACAGCTTTTTACATTAAATATACGACATGAGTCAGTCTATTAAATACTTCATTACAATTTGAACTCTGTTTATTGGTGATATGTTTCTAAAGTAATTTATAAAGAATAGATCTAAGTTAGTTATCCTTAACCTACTTTTTGGTACTCTAAAGTAAATAAACTCAAATTAATGGGAAAATCCCAGTAGTTGGCTGTATACCATCATTTAAAAAAACACAGAAGTTAAAACAATTCACACTTGTATTGTGGTATAAAAACACATAGTTAAAACTTTTTAAAAAGTGTCGTCAAAATTTATGTACTAGCATAACGTTTTCGATCTGAACAGATCATCCTCAGTGCCTTATGTAATTGAAGCTAACAATAAAGTTATGACTGTGCCCTCCATATATGGGTTTACATAATACCAAATTTTAAATTTTGATTATGTTGTGACTCTAGTTCGATGACATTGGATAATTTTTTTTACTTTAGGGACTACATGTCTCCCTGCTCGATTTTAACACGTGGTACTTATCAGTTGGTCTGTGTACCGACATTAAATATAGCTTGCAAAATACAGATTGCCATCACTTCGTCCACAGTTTTTCCTTACTTTGTAATTCGGCTTAATTACACTCATTACATGTTTTTTTAAAAGCTAAAAACTAGCAAACAGGTTAAAACTAGCAAAAATTAAGAGAACAAATACAAACACCAGCACGCCTATAAATACAAGAGAGCTGATGAGAGACGAAAATCTGAAGAAGAGTTATGCGAATCAAATTAATGAAAGAATGCGAGTAATAGAACAAAATGATGATATCGAAGAGATGGTCAATGATATTAAAGGAACGATTCTGGCAGTAAACAGGGAAGTTAAAACACAGATCAGAAAGAGAAAGCATAACGAATGGATCAGGGACGAAATTATGGATCTAATGGAAAAGCGAAGGCAACATAAACAACAACGTAATCAAGACAAATACAAACAGATACACAAAGAAATTCGCCAGAAAATTAAGAAAGCAAAAGAACGTTGGATGGTGGAAAGGTGCAACGAAATAGAACAATTGCAGGAAAAAGGAGATAGTTTTGGACTACATAAGAAGATCAAAGAAATATCGAATATACACAAAAGCCACCACAGAACAAAAATACGCAACGACAGACACGAATACATAGAGTCAGAAGAGGAGATAGCAATGGCGTGGAAAGAATACGCAGAAAGACTTTTTAATGACGAAAGACCAACACAACCAACGCGCAAACTTTCTTCCGAAAACTTATCAGGGCCATCAATAATGCGAAGTGAAATAGAATATGCAGTTAGTACCACAAAGATGCATAAAGCAACAGGTCCCAGATGAAATTAATATAGAAGCAATAAAACTACTAGACGAGGAGAATATCGAAATCTTGGTAAGGCTGTTCAATAGAATTTATGATACTGGTTACATTCCGCGAGAATGGCTGCAGTCATCCTTTGTGATGATCCCAAAAACAGCTAATGCCACAAAATGCAATGAACACCGCTTAATCAGTTTAATGAGTCACTTGCTGAAACTCTTCCTTAGGATATTACACTCAAGAATGTACAAGATACTAGAAGAACTTAGCGGGTCAACACAATTCGGTTTTAAGGGAGGACTAGGAACAAGAGAGGCAATTTTTGTTGAACCCTTAATACAAAACTGCTTAGATCAACGAAAAGATGTCTACCTCACCTTCATCGACTACGAGAAGGTATTTGACAATGTTAAACATGGATAATACTACATAGGGCAACATTGACCAGAAGGAGATCAGAATTATTCAGAATCTATACTGGAACCAAATGGCAAAGGTGAGGATTGATCAAGACCAATATACGGATGAATTTGAAATCCGGAAAGGTGTCCGCCAAGGCTGCATACTCTCTCCGATGCTTTTTAATTTATATGTTAAAAATATATTTGCGGAAGCATTAGAAGACACGGAATTAGGCATTAAGGTGAACGGCATATCAATTAGCAACCTACGCTATGCGGACGACACAGTGATTATAACTGATAATTTGAAGATCAGCATATACTTGATAGGGTGAATAGCATAGGTAAAAAATATGGCCTCAAAATCAACATTTTGAAAACGAAATATATGGTCATTAGCAGAAACCCTCCAAAAAACCCGATAATATGCATAGGTGACGATCGTATATAACGCGTGAAAACTTTTAAATCCCTTTTGGCAAGACAAGCTTTTGTGAAATTCAGACCGCTCCTATGTAATCAAAACCTAAATTTCGAAATACGCTACAGAATGGTCAAGTGCTACATATGGTCCATCTTGCTTTATGGCATGGAAACGTGGACTTTGAAAAAAACATCTATCAACAAACTTGAGCATTTGAAATGTGGTTATTGAGAAGAATATGCGACTGGGTGATAGAGTTCGAAACGATTACGTCCTTAAGAGAGCCGGCGTGGAAAGAGAACTCTTTGAATTAATTAAAAAACGCAAGATTGGTTACCTTGGGCACATATTGAGAGGAGCAAGATATGAAATACCACAGTTAATCCTACAAGGGAAGATCGAAGGTAGGAGAGGAGCCGGTCGCAAACAATTATCCTGGTTAAGGAATATTAAAGAATGGACAGGAATACACAACACAGGCGAGCTGTGTCACGCCGCCAAGAACAGAATTCTAGTAATGAGATAGTCGCCTACGCACTTTGGTGTATGGCATATTAAGAAAACCATGTTTTTTTACGTAAAAGACTTAGTGGCACTCAGTTCAAAATCAATCGTTTGTATTTATTTTAATTGTAAATTCCTTTTTCATTTTTGCCAGCTCATCAGAAATTACTGATACTTCAGTCAGCTCCAAATTTACATGCATATTTGGTTTTTACTGTTATTACGTAAAATGACATACAAACATTCTGATTATGTATATAACAATAGTATTAGCAACCACAATTTGACGAAACAAGTAGCGCATAACGATTTCTTGTCTAATCTCTTTGCAATTAGACCGACAGAGGCAAAACTCGAAATCCGGACCTAAACAAACGGCCTCGATTTTCTCTGTTAGCCAGACTCAAAGGCAGAGTTTCTGAATGGAGTCTAATTTTCACTAATTTGAGAAAATTGTTTGCAGAATTGTAACTCAATTTGGGTGATAGAATTTCAGAAAACGGCGGTATGTGCCAAGATGGAGTGGCATATGTCTAGAAAGTGGGGATTAGTTTTAAGTTGGTTTTGTTGTTTCCCTTCTGCTTTCGCTTGTATGTTATTAGTGGAAGAGTTTTTGTGTTGGACCCATTGATTTCTCTCATCCTTTTTGAGAAAAATGCTTGAGAAGGGTTTAACTTTTATCCCAAAATTATCAAGTAAAATAAACACTTTAAATACATACTAAAA